CCCCACAGTCTGGGTCCTCATTTCACCCACCTCGGAAGGATGGAAGGCTGAGTCAACCTTGAGCCTGGTGAGATTTGAACCGCCAAACTGCAGATAACAGTCAGCTGAAGTGGCCTGCAGTACTGCACTCTAACCAGAAATTTTCTGTTTCTGTTTGTCTATATTCATTTTCTATCCAGTGATTTAAAAAAACCATCTCTTATCATGCTCTGATTCTTCCTTCTCTTTAATTGCCAATGTTAATTTTCAGTGAGTCTGTGACTCACAGCCATCCAATGAAATGACAGTGAAATCAATCGGTGATGATTTATTCAACTTGTGTGCCACCAGATTCTCAACAGCTTTGGGTGGTTTCATGAAACGAAGACCTGGAGGGTCAGCCAGGCTTTAAGAAGGGGCAAAAGTAATTTGATCTTGAGGGGCCTGTCATCTCTTTGCCTTCCAGTGTCCAGGAGGGCCTTGCCGCTGAATTCCTCACTTTGACCAAAACGCTCTACGATTTCCATCACGCCCTTCGGGGAGAAATCGTGGCTGGGAGCCCTTTAGAACAGCTGGTGGTCGAGGACTTTGATGAGGAGCAGATCTGGCAACAGCTGGAGCTCCAGAACCATGCCGTCCTGGGGTCCTTGAAGAAAGCGGTCGCGAGAAACGTTGAGGACGAGGGAAACGGGGTGCTTTCCCTTCTCCCAGACGTTGAGGAGGACGAGGAAGATGAGGCAGGAGATGGTGAGGAGGACATGGACGCGGAGGACCAAGCGGGGAAGGAAGCCAGCAGCCGTCACAGCAAAGAGGAAGAAGAGCTTGGCCAAACAAGAACCAATTTGGAAGCCTCCCAAAATGTTCCTTTCAGCGACGAGGACTCTGAGCTGGACTTTGATATCGATAGGTTAGAGCAGCAAGCCCAAAGGTCAAAGAGCGTGAGGAAAAAGACGGGGTCAGACTCCCTGGTGGACGACAGATTTTTCAAACTCTCCGAGATGGAGGCCGCTTTGGAAGCGGAGGAGAAAGAAGGGAGCAGAGATAATGACAGCGATGGAATAGATTATTTCGAAGAGATTTTCTCTGAAGATGATGATGACGACGAGGAGGAGGAGTTTGGATCAAGGAAGAGGAAGGTAAGCGCTTGAGAGAAAATGTTGTATTTTTATCAGGTAAATTTAGTCTGCTCTCAAAGGTGACTTGAGAGACCGCCTGCTGCCAATTACCTCCCAAAGACCCGTTAGATCGCACAGGGTCGGCCTCCTCCGGGTTCCACCCACCAGCCAATGCCGTCTGGCTACTACCCGGGGGAGGGCCTTCTCTGTAGCAGCTCCGGCCCTTTGGAATGAACTCCCCGCGGAGATCCGGAC